CTTTCCCGCGTGGGCTGGGCCGGGGGCTTCCCCGCGAGGCTCAGTTTCGACCTCGTTTACTCAGCTGGGCGGTGTCATCCATCTTTAACTGCTGACTCCCTACCTGTCACACATCCAGGACGGACCTTTGTTAGCTTCAGACCCACAGGTCCTAACTGCTTGCTTGGCGTTTCCGCCTGGATGTTTCTTCAAAGTCATGCAAAATAGTTCCTCATCCTCCTCCGCCCCAAACCTGCTCTTCCACGTAGAGGTGTGCTGGTGAACATTGCTGCCCCGCTGACCAAGCGTGGGAATCAGTCTTGATGACACTTCACTTCTCAAGTCGGACGGGTTCATAGTTCTGAATATCCATCCTTTAAAAAAAGAAAAAAGGGCACTGCTGTTGTCCCGGTTTCATTGCCAAAGCAATTGCAGTAGCCTGGGTACCAGCAGGTCACCTGGCCCCCTCGTTGCAGGCAGAAGGATCTTTCCAGCGTACGAATTTGAACGTATAAAAGTCTTGCCTAAACCGTGGGTCACAAACTTTAGTATACGCGAAAGCCCCTTGGGGTGCTTTTTAAGTTTTAATATAAAATTTTCATCCAATCCAGTCGTTCTGATCTCAGTAGGATGGGATGGAACCCAGAAATCTGCATTTTTAACAAACATCCCATCTGATTCCTGCAGGAGACCATAGCTTGAGAAACGGCGATCTACAGAATCACGTCGAAATTATATATATATAATTATTGGTTTCAGAAAGGAAGGGAGAGGGAGAGAGAAATAGAAACATCAATCATGAGAATCATTGATTGGCTGCCCCCTGCATGCCCCCTATTGGGGATCGAGCCCATAACCCGGGCATGTGCCCTTGACCAGCATCGAACCTGGAACCCTTCAGTCTGAAGGCTGACGCTCTATCCACTGAGCCAAACCGGTCAGGGCACGTCCAAATGTTTTATCATTGCACCCAAGGAATGCCAGGCTAACTCAACTACCTGCAGACTCTCAATGTACCATTGTTGCTCAGGCCTACCTGCCATATGGCACGCATCATTACCAATCCACCACACCTGCCTGGTGAGTCCTGCGCATTCAGCTCTGGATTCCCACTGTCCCTTGTCTTCTGTTATCGCACTTATCTGTTGTACTGTAATTACTGGTGCTCTTGTCTGGTTCCTTAGTAGACTTTGAGTTCCTAGAGATCTGAGACCATTCCTTTTTCAAGATTATGTCCCCAGATCATATCCCTGGGATGTAAAGGCTGAATTTCACTGGAATGTATTCGGAATTCAGTAAGTGTTGAACAAAAAGAATGTTTATTGCAGGCCCCTGGGTGACATAATAGACAAGGTGGACCTGGTTGCTTCCCTCGCAGAGATCCTAATCTAGTTAGATAACCAGGACACTGTATAAAAAAAAAAACAACCCAAAAAAACCCTTCATTATAGGTTGGGAATTAACGTGTTTTTGCTTCTTCCTGTGTGTGTTGGTTTCAGGCACATGACTCAGGGCGTGGACATGTCTGGTGTTTTCATGGAAATGGTGAAGGCCAGTGCCACCGTAGATATTGTTCAGAAGAAGTTGGTTTATCTCTACATGTGCACATACGCTCCCCTGAAGCCAGATCTGGCTCTCCTGGCCATCAACACACTGTGCAAAGACTGTTCGGACCCCAACCCGATGGTGCGAGGGCTGGCACTGCGGAGCATGTGCAGCCTCAGGTGAGCACCCTCTTGCTCGTTTCTCAGTGGCTGATGAATTTAGGAGGTCAAGGGGTAGGTTTTTATTTCATTTTTAAATTTAATTTAACTTTTTCCATCACCAGTTATCCCCTCTATGCCTTCTTCTATCCCTTATCTGCTCCCCCGCCCCCTGTAATCACCACGCTGTTGTTCATGTCCATGAAGGGGTAGGGCTATTTTGTTTGTTTGTTTGTTTTTATTGATTCCAGAGAGGAAGGGGGAGGGAGAGAGAGATAGAAACATCAATTATGAGAGAATCATTGATCGGCTGCCTCCTACATGCCCCCTAATGGGGATCGAGCCTGCAATGTGGGCATGTGCCCTTCACTGGAATCGAACCCAGGACCCTTCAGTCTGCAGGCTGACGGTCTATCCACTGAGCCAAACCAGCTAGGGCAAGGGGTAGGTTTTCAATGATGACAATTTATTTGAGCTTTTTTATCCTGAGAAAAACACTGTTGTCACAGTGTTCAGCCATCACTTTAGCTTGGAAAACTATATCACACTAGAGGCCCGGTGCATGAAAATCGTGCACTAGAGGGGGGGGGTCCCTCAGCCCAGCCTGCACCTTTGGGAAGCGGGCCTAAGTCATCAGTTGGACATCCTTAGCACTTCTGCAGAGGCGAGAGAGGCTCCTGCCACCGCCACTGCACTCGCCAGCTGTGAACCCGGCTTCTGGCTGACCACCAGGGGGCAACTCCTGCATTGAGTGTCTCTCCACTGGTGGTCAGTGCATGTCATAGCAACGGTCGTTCTGTCGTTTGGTCAATTTGTATATTAGCCTTTTATTGTATACGATAGGATTGGTTCATTAGAGGGAGTTTTTCATTCTCACTCTAGATGAAATAGTTCTTGGGTTGGGTTAAAGGTTTCTAAACAATTGTGTGTAGCATTATTCCAAATATAAAGTCAAACAGGCTTTTTTTAGTTTGACAACAGCTTTCTCCAATTCATGATCTGATAGATGGACATTGAAACACCCACTAAACCGTCCATTAAGTTGCTAGGGGCTGAATTGTATCAAAACTAGGATTTCAGGATCTGGCTGATTCCAGGATGTGTTGCTTAGGATGCCTGGTGTACAGGAGTATATCCAACAGCCTATTCTCAACGGTCTGCGGGATAAGGCTTCATACGTCAGGAGGGTGGCAGTCCTTGGCTGTGCCAAGATGCATAATCTTCATGGAGACTCTGAAGTGGGTAAGTTTCAGTGTGATCCATCCTAATCAATATGTATTTGTGCCTGAATTACATATATGACTTTGGGAAAGATTATGTAGCTTTGGTAGAAAGTAATAATGTGGCCCTGACTCTATGCATGTCCCTTTAAGCAGGATGCAGGGCTTGATATTTTCTGAGATTAGAGGAATCCTTTCTTTGAGGTTCAGGTGCAATCCTTTGTCTTAGGTATGTAGCAGATGGCAGTTTTTTGGCCCTGACTTGGTATTGCCTTTGTGATTTTTATTGATTTTTTACAGAGAGGAAGGGAGAGAGATAGTTAGAAACATCGATGAGAGAGAAACATTGACCAGCTGCCTCCTGCACGCCCCCTACTGGGGATGTGCCTGCAACCCAGGTACATGCCCTTGACCGGAATGGAACCCGGGACCCCTCAGTCCACAGGCCGAGGCTCTATCCACTGAGCCAAACCGGTTTCGGCGAAGCTTTTCTTCTTTATCTGAGGTCTCTGTTCTCTTTTCTAGATGGTGCCCTGGTAAATGAATTATACAGTTTGCTGCGTGACCAGGATCCAATTGTGGTGGTGAACTGCTTGAGGTCTCTAGAGGAAATTCTGAAACAGGAAGGCGGTGTTGTCATCAATAAGCCCATCGCCCACCATCTCTTAAATCGGTGTGGATGCCTCACCTCGGTGCTCTTTTAATTATGATGAGATCTGCTCCTAGTGGGATCTTATCGATGTGTTGGGTTAAGGAATAGTAAAGAAAGTTAATTTTTAAAAAAAGAAAGCTTATCATAGCTATTAACTTCCCCATATTTCATTGAGAGAATTTCTTTCATTTGCCTTAGTTCCTTTTAGTGATATAGAGAGATGGCAGAAACATCCTGTGGGTTCTGTCCTCCTTTTAGTCATGTCCCTCAGACTAAGCCATTTATGCTGTCTTAAAAGGTAGAGGATCTGGATCGAGGGTAAAGTGATCATGATCGTATCTTTGGCCTTAGATGAGTGTGCATTTGTACTGTAAACTCGTATTAGAATTTAAAGACTATTTTGTGTAAACTTTAAGTAGTACATAAAAAGAATAATTTGATTACGGCACAGCCTATTTTTAAGGATTCTCCCTTTGTTATGATGAACAGATGACTGGTGACATGCAGTAGTATGCAAATAGTCCTAATTTTGTTGCTAAAATAGCACTTTTGTTTTCTTTTTTGGATAGAATGTCCAAACTGGACCAATGGGGCCAGGCTGAAGTATTGAACTTCCTGCTACGCTACCAGCCCCGCAGTGAGGAGGAGCTGTTTGACATTCTCAATCTGTTGGACAGCTTTCTCAAGAGCAGTAGCCCAAGCGTGGTGATGGGAGCCGCCAAACTCTTTCTGATCTTAGCAAAAAAGTT